TTTGAGGAAATCAGCTAATAATACCTCTATTTCTCATCTGGGCAGCTCAGAGGACTTGCTAGCCACCACAATCCGCCCCCCATTGGACTTTTTACCCCTCCTAGTGAGACCTTAGCTCTAATCTCTTAGCCTTTGCAACTGGGCCATTAAATTGGGCTTCAGCTGGAGGGTCATTCGTATGCATGTCTTCTACTAGGATATTCATTCCGGGGTTTACTTTAAAATTGCCTGGCTGAAATCTAACTGTGTTTTCTTTCAAGACCATCTTCCAGCAGATTTCCATTCACTTTGGTTTTAGTGAGGGACCAGATGTGGTTGTAGAAGTCAAAGGCAGTTTTAGCATCATTTCAGGAAAAGCCGTCCTGGGCTCCTCACACTGTGAGTCTATCCTCCATGGCCTCCACATCACACTGAAAAAGCTTTCCAGCTTTCTCTTTGGTTTGCAAAACACTTTGATTCAGAGCAAGTGGGAAATCTCTAAAACTGGAAAGAATTGGAACTGTAAAGCTTGTGGGAGGGGAAAAAAAAATCAGAGAGAGTTGGGGCGGGGCTAATGCAAATGAGATCAGGCAACACCATGGTGAGACAACACCTCTCCACCCCAAATCTCCACTGTATTTAGAAGAGACTCCAAATCTTTCAGGTGGAAGTCTTTTGCCAGTTTATACTCTGTTTTCTTTTGTCGTTTTATTTTGTTTGTTTTGTTTTGTTTTTAACTGCAAGATTCCGGGCAGGTTGGCTCCCTTGGGAGATCCTTGATCATCCCTAAGCTGTCCCCAGTCACTTCCTAAATAGAAAAGAACCTCTCTGCTGGCTCCTACTCCCATTCTGAATCCCAGTCTCCAACAGTGAACTCAGAACTCACACACACTTAGAAGATTTACCTTAAATCTACTTCTTCGACCTATCTGCTCATGTATCTCAATAAAAGTTGACACTGACTTTGGGTGTTTGTATTTTTGTGTACTGGAGCGTGAGTTCCTTGAGGCAAGTACTATCTTCTAGTCTTTGTATATCCCTATTTCATGGTACCTAAGATTCTTTAGCCACTTAAAGAATATCTGTTGACTTGATTGGCTATTTCAGGAAGGCAGGTATTCCAAGGAAAGGGTGATGAAAAAGAGAGAGAGAAACATGATAACGACCTAATGCTCTCTAACAGGCGGAAATGTTTTTAGCCATCAGTGCTAGGGCAATCCACAGCCAGGGGTATTGGAATCAAGCTAAGAAATGCTAACTTCCGAAAGAAACGTGACCATCCTACAGATTTACTGGCCCTAATAAAATAGTTTTCAAGGTTCATGTATTAGTTTTCTTGTAAATATAAAAATAGAAATGAAGCGCCTTGGTTTGGCTCAGCAGTTAGAGCGTTGGCCTGTAGTCCAGAGAGACCCGGGTTCGGTTCCCGCTAAGGGCACGTACTTTGGTTGCAGTTTGTCCCCGGCCCTGGTTGGTCATGCGGGTGGCAGCCACTCGATGTGTCCCTTTCACATCGCTGTTTCTCTCTCTCTCTCCCTCTCTCCCCCTCTCTTTCCTTCCCACTCTATCTGAACAAAAAATGGAAAAATGTCCACCAGTGAGGATAAAAAAAAAAAAAATAGAAACGAAGAATAATGATCCCTCCCCCCAAAGATGTTCATGCCCTAATCCCCAGAATCTGTAAATATGTTACCTTTGTACATATAATTAAGGGTACCGACTTTGAGATGAAGAGTATTACGAATTATCCAGGTGGGCCCAACATGTCACATCAGTCTTTAAAAGTAAAAGACCTTTCCCAGCTACAGTCAGTGAGAGAGAGACGGGGCAATAGTAGAATGGGCAGAAAGGTGCAACATTGCTGGCTTGGAAGGCGGAAGAAGAGGGCCACAAGCCAAGGACTGGGCAACCTCCAGAAGCTAGAAAAGCCAATGAAACAGATTCTCCCCTAGAGCTTCCCAAAGGAACACAGTCCTGCCAACACCCAGGTGAAAACTGTATTGGAATTCTAACCTTATGAAACTGTAAGATAACAAATCTGTGTAGTTTTAAGCCATGCACAATTGGTTACAGCAGCAACAGAAAATGAATACAAAAGGCAACTCTGGGCTTCAGCATGACCCTCGACTTTGGTGTGCAACATTCCCTGCTGAACCCCCAAACCAGAGAGATTTCTCATTCCAGCTGAAACTATCCTTCTATCCCCCTTTTCTTCTCTGTGACTTTGCTGACTTTGTCTCATCTTTCAAGACTCAGTATAAAATTTCTCTCCTCTGGACCAGCCAGTGTGGCTCACTGGTTGAGCGTCAACCCATGTACCAAGAAGTCACCAATATGATTCCTGGTCAGGGCACATGCCCAGGTTGTGGGCCCAATCCCCAGGGGGGGGCATGCAGGAGGCAGTCAACCGACATTCTCCCTCACCAATGTTTCTATCTCTCTCCTCCCGTCCTTTCTCTCTAAAATCAATAAAGAAAAAAATATTTAATAAAAAAATTTCTTTCCTCTGAAAAATCTTGGTTTCTTTCTATATGGGCTATCAAGGTCTGAAATGTGGGGACCCTGTCATGGTCTTTGTACATGTGAGTTTGAATGATGGAATTAATTAATCATCATTTGATGGAGTATAAAAATAAGAAAAAGTAGAACTGCTTTCTTGTCACTGCTTTTAAGAAAAGAGTAAGATCACTCACTCACTAGGCACCGCTTTCATTCATCTTCATCAAGTCCTTCCTTAGTCCCTCTCCTCTTCTCGTTAGGGACACACACACACACACACACACACACACAACTTGGCAGAGTGAAATCCCGGTTGGTAGCTGTTCAGAGTTAGACAAGTAAACAATGCATTTGTCCCTGATCAAAAGTATGAGCTGTTGGGGGTCAAAAGCTGAAACCAGAAAACTTCAAGGGAAACTTTAAAAGTCACAGAAAAAGTTCCGAAATGTGAAGTTTAAACCCAGATCCAAGGTTTGAGAATTAAATAACAGGACTCTTGTGTGATAGTTTTAAACTGTGTCCACAAACACTTTGATACTCCTTTCCCCAAGAGTGAAGCCTAATCTCGCTCCCCGTGAGTGAGTCCCTTCTAATGAATAGAACATGGCTGATGTGAGCAGCATATGATCAAGCCAAAAAAGGCATTACAGCCAGGCTGGTGTGGCTCAGTGGATTGAGCGTCATCCCATTGACTGAGAGGTGCCAGTTTAAATCCTGGTGAGGGCACATGCTCAGGTTTCAGGCTCAATCTTAGTCGGGGGCGTGCAGGAGGCATTCAATGGATGTTTCTCTCTCAAATCGATATTTCTATTTCTCTCTCCCTTTCTTTCTCTAAAAAAATCAATAAAAACTTTTTTTATAAAAAGCATTAACTTCCTCCCTCAATCTCTCTCTCTCTCCTTCTCTCCCATCACTTGTCTGGAAGTAAGGAAGCCAGTTGCCAATAGCCACACGAGTGACCATCGTGGGGGAAGATTCCTAAGCCTCCAGACAACTGCAGGCCCAGCCCACATCTCCACGGCAACCAGAGAGGAAGCCCTGAGCCAGAACCACTCAGCTGAGCTGGTCCCCAAATTCCCCACCACAGACACCATGAGGTAATAAATGTTCATTACTTGAAGCCACTAAGTTCGGGGGTTATTTGTTATGCAGTAAAACAGATAGTCAATATGAATAATACATATTCTCCAGGGCGAAGGTGACAAATTGGAAAGTCAAGAATCTGATTTGGTCTACAAATATATTTTTCTCAGCTCAAAATGATGGAGTTTTAGATGAACCAAACTTTATAAATCATTCAATTCTATTTAAAAATCCAGATTGCCAGTGTCTTTCAACAGTCTGGAGATCTGGCTACACCAATGCCTGTATCTCCATCCGGCAGCCGTGAGCGGGAATCAGGACCCGCCTTCCGATGGAGAGACGCATGCTGTCCCCAAGCTCATCGAAGTCCCCACTGACCCCTATCCGTGCCCACACTGCACCAACGGCATGGCTTTCGCCCTGCTGTTCCTCTTTCAGCACAGAAATCTTTGCCAGTCCCCATGTTTCTATCAAAAGGAGGAGACAACAGATACGCTGAAAGGGCTGTGTGTCTTTATGAATCTAAGAAAAAATTTACTTCTTAGTAGAAGTGAAGAATATTCTTGCATGTCTAATACGCCATCAATGTGTATCTGTGTCAAATACACGCAACTTAAAATCCCACCTTTTCTTCCTCTGGTAGCTTTGCTCATGCAGGCTACCGATGGGTCCCTGCAGGTGAATGAGTTTGCTAAACCCGCTCTTTCCTATGGGGTCTTGGAAAAGGCTAAGATAAGTCACGTAAACTTGCCAGATCCAGCTCTCCAGCATCTTAAATGTAGCTGCCACTATTTCCTCTCATATTGCACACTTTGAGAAGAACTTTACTGAGACCAGAGCATCTATGAAATCTTTTTCTGGTTTTGTACACATCCTAATTGTTTAGCCTGAGCTTCTAACTGCTGACTCAAATTGTGTCTGACCACAACCACAGCCACTCATCAAAGACACAGTCCCAAGCACAACCCCTGCTTTCCCATAAACGTATACCCTTTACTATTACCAACATTTCTAGGAAATTGACATTAAACTAAAATGGGAGTTAGCAAACTACAGCACATAGCCCAGTCTGGCCCACCACCAGCTTTTGGAAATGAGATTCATTGGACCACAGCCACACTCGTTCATTTACATACTGTCTGTGGCTGCCTCTGCACCACAGAGGCTGAGCGGAGTCGTTGTGACGGAGATCTCGTGACCTGCAAGGCTAAAAATTTACCATTTAGCCAACCTCTGGAGGAGGAGAATAAAGTACAAGTATCCGGGTGGTTAACAAGCCAAAAACACACTGCTTCAAAAACACACAACACGGGAAAGGATAAAGTCACCATGCCCTATTCAGAATGCTCGTCTTAAAATTCATAGCTGATAACTAAAGCTTTCTTTAGCTTACAAATGGACATAAGTAGAACAGTTTTTTAAGTTAAAAATAAACTGACCGTGGCAAGTTTTTGAACATCTTCATCTGATGCTCCCAGAGACGCCAGGCCTATTTCTTGTGAAAATTGAGCAAACTTAGGATCTGCAAGTAGTGGAACATGTCCCAGCAGTTCGTGACACGTGTCCCTGACAAGAAAAACATCACAAGGAAATGTTAAACTAAAAGTTTTAACTACCACTGGTAGAACAAGACTTAAAATCCTAAACATAATGTGTTACTCTAATTACTGTTAATTTAATCAGTTCTAAGACTTTTGTCACATTTTAACAACTCTGAAATCCAGATGTACCTTAGAGTCAATGCCATTTTAAATTATGATATATAATATTTTTAATCAAATAGTAGAGACTATTTTCAAGTGCTTACTTTATAGCAAGTACATGATAAGTGTTTTATTATATATATTATCTCTATTTAATCCTCAAGAGAAACTTAGAGGATTAAAGTAATTTATTAATGTAAGATCTTGTAGATCAGGGATTAGCAAACTATAGCCGCAGACCAAATCTGTCCCACTGCTTGTTTTTGTAAATAAAGTTTTATTAAAACTCAACCATGCCTATTCATTTATGTATTGTCTGTGGCCTCTCTGGACTAAAACAACATAGTTAAGTAGTTGTGACAGAGATCATATGGCCCACAAAGCCTAAGATGTTTACCAGCTGGCCCTTGACAGAAAAAGCTTGCTGACTCTTGCTATAGACAGTGATAACACCAAAATGTGACTCCAGCTCATCATGATTTCCAAACTCTTGCTCTTAACCCTTCTGTTGCACTGCATCTCATTTACACTTTGCCAGGCACTGGGAAACAGCAGAGGATCCTGTTGTCATCATCCAAGTGGCGTTTCCCACAGTTTATCTGCCTATAACACAAGCAACTCCCTTGAGCTGCGGAGAGGAAAACCGTCCCAGTCCTCCGCTCTGGTCAACCTCAACTAGGCAATAATGGGAGCTCAGAACCCCGCTCATTCGCCTGAGCTTCCCTTTGGAGCCAGATGACCAGACAGCGGCAGCATGTGTCACAACATACCGAGGCAGACGACCGACTGAGTCACTTCCATGAATCACAGACTGTTCCCTGATACCAGGCTCTGTTGGAATGAAGCCTTGTGACTCTCTGGGAATGGATTAAGAGGCAGCAATATTTAATTTTCTTTACAAAAACCAATTAGCCAGGTAGTAATTGAAAGATGTTTCCTGATTTCACCTGGGCTCCTCTGAAGTGTACCACATCAAGCAGGTGCTATAATAGAAATGCCAGGTGCTACGGGCATTATCACAAGTATAAAGTAGGTTGGATGGTCATGTGGTGGAAGCAAGTGAAGGGTGGTCAAAGGCACAAGATCGATGCCCACAGGAAACAGATGGCATTACTCAATCAAAAGATCTTGTTCCCACAAGGAAAACCACTTCCCCAGCCCTGGCCAGCCACCTCACACACACATCAACGGAGAGGGCAGCCCAACATGTGTGGACATTGTACTAAGAGAAACTCCAAACTCATTCCCTGTAACGGTGTGCCAATAGCTTTCTTCTCGCACATCAACTGAGTTTGTGGAGAACAATATGGGTTGTTTTTTCTCCAATCACAATGCTTAAGGCAAAGAATCAGAATCAGTGATAAGGGGAACTTAAATGTTATCCAAGCTCCTCATTTTTCCCATGAAAAAATGAAAGGCAGACAGAGAAAGAAAGAAAGAAAGAAAGAAAGAAAGAAAGAAAGAAAGAAAGAAAGAAAGAAAGAAAGAAAGAAAGAAAGAAAGAGAAAGAAAGAAGGGAGGGAGGGAGGGAAGGAGGGAGGGAGGGAGAGAGAGAGGAAGGAAGAAAACACATACTGAGCTCTTATTGTGTGCTGGGTACTGTACAAAATGTTTTCATGTCACATTATTAACTTAATCCTCACTTACAAAGAAGTCTTACTATTCCTAAATGGGGAAGCTAAACGTCAGTAATTTAAGCATCTTTTTCAAGGTCACTCTGTTAATAAGAGACAGAGACAAGATTTGAAATCAGATTCCTCTGTCTCAAAGCTCTGCTCTTTCTGCTCTGTTGTTTTAACTTGTATTTGTAGAATAAATGAGAAGGGAGGTGGGCCTTAGTTGGGGAGGAGGAGAGTTCAACCAAGTTAGTTAGCTCAAGTAAAAATTATATAATCAGTATGTCCAAAATCTCTTTTCCAGTCATTCAGTGGTTTTTAACCTTCCAAATTACTTGAGGAAGCTTCTTTAAAATACCCATAGTCCTGGCCAGTATGACTTAGTGGTTAGAGTGTTGGCCCATGGACCAAAGGGTTATGGGTTCAATTTCCAGTCAAGGGCATGTACCTGGTTTGCACATTCAATCTCCAGTCCCAGTCAGCATGGGGAGGCAACCAACAGATGTGTTGATGTTTTTCTCTCTCTTCCCCTCCCTCCCTCCCTTCTACTCTCTCTAAAAATCAATGACAAAAATCTCCTTGGATGAAGATTAAAAAATAAATAATACCAATGAATAGGTCCTACCTAACACCAAGTCAGGCCAACTCTTTGGGATAGACCTGAGCATCTGTATTTTTTTTTAAGCTTTCTGGGTGACAGTAGACACAGCCAGTGTGGAGACCCCACGCATGACCGACGACACTGGGAGTTCTGCTAGCAAGCCTCCAGCAACAAGGACTCGGAACCGAAGCTGAATGTGATCGTGTAATTTTGAGCTGCCCACGTTCAATTCCACTAAACCCACATCATTAACCCTGGAGAATAATGAAAGGCAGTGACAGAAAGGTCACTAGGTAGCTAATTATTCCTCCCTGTGCATTTGATGCTGTTAAGTCTAATACTTCCCTGCTAGGAGTGGACCCCTAGACTCACTCCTGTGATCAGTTTTGTGAAAGGTCATGCAGTCTGCACCGCTGTTGGAATTGGGATCAGGTGGCCCACCGTAGATACATCTGAATACCCCACTGTAAATAAGAAAGCACCCCACTGACCCAAGTGGAAAATGTGACAACAATAATTCCCAAACTAGACCAGATGTCAAACTCCAGGGAAATACTGACATGGTATTAGCTCACGGCATCAATAAGAAGGTGGGCAGAAACAAAGATCATTTTGGGGGGCCAACACATGTTAAATGCTCGCTGTGGGTCGGGCACAGCGCTAAGTGCTTCTTAACGTGGGCACAGGAGGGGCTGTGGCTCCTGCACTGGTGAATTCTTGGTGCAACACTGGATCTACTTCTGAGCTTGTCAGACTCGGGGAGGCTGCTGTCCCCATCTGCCTAGGTCCTAACAGAGTCTGAAGGGCAGCAAGGAAAGTGAAAAGCCGGTGATTGAAAGGAAAGAGGAAGGCAAATACGAAAGATCCAAAGACATCAAGGAGTCAGTTCTCTGTGGCAGAAAGAGAGCTGTCACCTGGATTTTAAGTTAAAGTACCATTATCAGAAACCTGTAACTCGCAGCCAATTTAAGAACCTTTAATAGCATTACCATGACAAAGTAATTCAACTACACATAGAAGAGGAAAAGAAGAAGTATAAATTTGAGAGAAAAAAATATATATCATACAATCCAGAAGCTTAAGTCCCATTGTTTCATTAAGAATGAAAACCTATGCCCAGCCGGTGTGGCTCAGTGGTTGAGCATCCACCCATGCACCAAGAGGTTGCGGGTTCGATTCCCAGTCAGGGCACGTGCCCAGGTTGTGGGCCCGATCCCCAGTGGGGGGCATGCAGGAGGCGGCCAATCGATGTTCTCTTTTATGGATGTTTCTATCTCTCTCTTCCTCTCTCACTAAAAATCAATATTTAAAAAAAAAAGAATGAAAACCTGGAGCATCAGCCCGGCAGACCAATGAGTCGCAGGTTTGGATCTGGTCAAGCTCACGACCTCGGTGGCGGTTGTCCCTGGCCCTGGTCGGGGTCATGGGGAAGGCAGCCAGTGCATGTGTCCCTCTCACATAGGTGTGTGTCTCTCTCTCTCTCTCTCTCTCTCTCTCTCTCGCTCTCTCGCTCTCTCGCTCTCTCGCTCTCTCTCTCCCTCCCTCCCAATCTATCTGCAAATAAATGGAAAAACATCCTCGAGTGAGGATTTGAAAAGAAAATTTTTTTAAAAGAATGGAAACCTGGCCCGGCCGCGTGGCTCAGCCGGCAAACGACTGCGCTGTACTGCGCCAGGCGGCGCCCTCCTCCCAGCGCCGCCCGCGGACACGCCGGGAAGAACCGCCCTGGTTCTGCTGGGCAGTGGAGCTGCAGGTGGACAGGAGCCCACCTCTCCTTGAGCAAGCCTTCAAGTGCCCTATTTCAGCACCAGGAAGGCTTTTATCTTCTATGACACTAGTGGAACATTCTCAGAAAGAAACACCGGATTGTTCTCTGTCCCAGGGCCTTCCACTAATGCACGGGGTGCAGACAGAGGACACTGCACTAGAAAGATCTTTAACGTTACCAACAGAAGCAATTAATTAGCTCTGAGAAGCTGACATTTTCTCGAGTTTCTTTGAGACTGGAGGACTTAGAAGCTAGGTTTGACTACAACTCTCTGGGACTGCAAGAGGTTCCAGACTATTGGGAGCCTGAGGGAGGACACCAAGCCTTCTCTCCAACCTTTGTATCAGTTAAGTTCTGCGGGGCTGGATCATGCTATTTCGCCCTATTTTACAAAGTGCAATAGCTTTTATGTCCTGCAGGAGAAGTGGTTCCCTGCGTCAGCTACGGCGTCCTCAGCTGGACCCCTGAGTGTCTAACTGAACAGGTGTCCAAGTGAGTCCACGCTATTGCCTTATCTCACCAGATCCTTCTTAAAAGATTCAATTCTTTGGCTATAATTGTACCTGTCAGCACATGCTGCCGCCAATCTCTACATCGGCAAACTTTTCTCTTTTTAACTCACATCCCTTTGATGCATTTTTGCCTGAATAATGCTTTTCAGAGCCTTTTCACAATGGCGCTCTGCTCACTGCAAATGTAGGGCCTTTCAAAACCGTTAACACTGTAAAACATCATGTCTCCTTCTGACAAAGAAAAAGAAAGAACAAATGAAAACCTAGAGCTGCTATCAGACACCAAACTTAGGCTGCTCTAAATTGGAATGTTCCCCGGTAAGCCCTGTTAGGACTCCAAAGCCTGCGGAAATGGCCTGCAAGGGG